GAATCAAAACCCTAATTTGAGGCATCAATGTTTAGGAGGTGGTTTGACCTAATCAACACTTGTGCAAACTTGAGCCATTGAAGATCTTGTGAGAAATGTCTTGAGAAAAGAGAGGGCAAATTTTGGGGTAAACAGGGACGATGATGTGTTGGATGGAAATTATCTTCGAGGGAATGATGATCTACGTGAGATTCATGTTATTGACGGGAGATTTTAGATTTGGCCCGAAGGAAGCTCGTAAGTTTCTTATTTATAAATTTTTATTTTATATATTTTCATTTTTAATATAAATTTATACTTAATATTTTTAATTTAACTTATTTTTGTTTAGTTTCCCGCCGAGTCGGACTACTGCCAAGGTTATAATTATATAATTCAGCAGATGTATAAACAATTTTGGAAGATCTTTAAAGACGTTAAAAATAAAGAAGCTTAGTTTAACAAATTTAAGGTATAATTAATTTATTTTTTAGTTATTGCTATTTAAATGACTTTTTCATTATAATTACCTAACTATTTATTTTAATGGCATACAACGTTGCACGAAAAATGTGTGTGAGACCCATTGAACGAGAAGTTGATTAAAAAAATTATTATGGCAGAACCTCAAGACGACTTTCTGACATAATGCAGTGTATTAGAGAGCGTTTGGAACTTCAGAGTATCCATCCCAATTGGATAGGCAAATAGGTTTTTGAGAAAATTCTTAAATATTGGGAGTCGCCCAAATTTCAGGCTAAATCGGAAAAAAAATTAAAAAGATGAGGGCATTTGAAAAAGGGGTTGCGTTAATGCAGTTGGAAGTATAAGTACCGCAGAACATTTTCGATGCATGGTAAATATTACCACTTTTTAAGTTATATTTTGATTCATAATATATTTTATTAATTAAAGTTAATTTTATTATTTAGACCAAAATTTTAGGGAGAGCACCACTGATGATTGAGCTGGTTAAAAAGACTCGGACAAAAAAAAATCGGAGAATTTATGGATGAAAGTACACTAAAAGCTTTCGTAAGATATTTAATTTACGTTGTTTATATTTTTTTATTTAATGACAATTTTGTGTCGTGATTTTCACGTGGCAACTGAGAAGTTGTGACGGGAAAATCATGTGGCAATTGAGAAGTGGTGGCGTGAAAATCACGTGACAACTTTTTTAATATAATTTAATTTAGTTTAATATATATTTAACTTAATTTTTTTATTGAGTGTGTTGGAGGATTATCAGACACTGCTCGTAAATTTTCTGACTCATAATCCTCAATATACTTCAGGAGAGGGAGAGCCCCTTCATCCATATGTGAATTTTTATATTTGGGACCAAGTCATTGGCGGAAAAGGCCCTAACGGTTATTTTCTTGGTGGTGGAAATTTGGCGGGCACCTTGAGAAGTGGGAATATAACTCTATTTCAAAGAGTTAGAGATGGGGAAGGAGGGTCGCATAAACCAAATTTCGCACCAGAACAACTTGAAACAATAAGACAATCGGCGTTAAATGAGGCGAGACGCGAGTTAGCACAATATGAGGCGGCAATGAAGGCCCAAATGAAGGCACAAATAGAGGCAATGAAGCAAGAGTAACAACGACAAATAGAGGTCATGGCGAAGAGACAAGTTGATATGGAGCAACAAATGAGACAATTTATGCAAGGTTTGGCGAAAATCAAAACATTCGTGGTCAAGAGCCGAAGAGTGAAGGAAACAAAGATAATTTTGACGTTGACAACTATATCAACCAAGATAACTCATAGAATTAATTTTTTTTATTTTGCTTTCAATTTTGAATTTATGTAACATACTAATTAATTAAACATATTTAGTATATTAAATTTAGAAATCTTAAATTTATAATTTTAGTTTATTAATTTTATTATATTAAATTTAATATATTAAATTTATTAGTTTAGTTTATTATATATTGAATTTATTAATTAATTTTATTAATTAATTTTATTAATTATAAAAGAAAAACAAATTTTAGCAATTAAATTTAAAAAAAAAACATTAGTGACGTGATTTCTATGTCACAAAGTTGTGACATGTAAATCACGACGCAACTTAATTTTTTTAATATAAAAAAAGTTGAATATAACGTTGTAGGGTTAAATGTAATTACTAGTGACGTGATTTTCACGTCAGATATTAGTGACGTGAAAATCACGTCGCAACTTAATTTTTTTTTTTTGAAAAAAAATAAAAGTTGAATAGAACATTGGGTGTTAAATATAATTATTTAGTGACATGATTTTCACATCACTAATTTGTGACGTACATGGCAAATAAAGTGTTGCTCTGACTTCTGCGCTTGCTACGCGTGCTTCCACTCTAATTCTAGGATTTCTGTGCAAGCAAGTTTCGACGTGATTTTCACGTCACAACTTTGTGACATAAAAATCACGTCGCGATAAATTTGTCACCTGCTCCTCAGCCACGTAATTGTTAACGTCGCAAATTAATTGTTGTGACATGATTTTTCATGTTGTGGCGTGAATTTCAGGTCGCTGCAAATGAGAATTTTTTATAGTAGGTGGAGTAATGATAACTTTGACTAGGCTCAAGATACATAGGACAGAGGAGAATAAAAATAAAAATATTTCTTAAGCAGTATTTGTTAAGCAGTAAAGTCATTGATCGAAGATAGAGAAAAAAATACTACACATGAGAAAAAAAGAGAAAAGTGAGTTAGGGTTTCATAAAAGAACAAACAAGCTATCAACACGTGGAGGGATGATTTTCAAAGAAAAAACTAAGTGACATTAGTAAGAAATGCATGGAACTAACATGGAGTAACGAGATGAGAAAAAACATCGTGAGACCGAGCAGTCAAGTATCATCAACATTCACAATAAAGATAAGTTGGAGAAAATCAGTGATAGGGCAGGATCAAAACTTGATGGAGGAATAAATGTAATATAAGAAAATCCCATTACGGATTGTAGTGGGGATAATAATGGGATTATCAACTATGACTAAAGCAACAGACCATCGAATGATAGCATGGAAGATAAAACAGGTACAGACACAGTTAACAAGATGACAAATGATTTTGTAATTCCACGATAAGAGATGTATTGAGCCTCCTAGAAAGTAACAATACGAGCTCTGTACATACTGATATGCAAGAAGTTTTTGAAAACAACAGTACTATGGTTCCTTGTGTTTTTCGGTTTGAGAGTGCGTGGTTGACTGAAGAGAGTTATAAAGATATGATTAGAAGTAGCCTGAATAAGGATATGAATGTGAATATGAATCTTCAGTTGGTTAGAGAAGATATTAAATAATGGAAAGTTTATACTTTTGATCATGTTACCAGGCAGAAGAAAGAACTTATGACCAAATTGAATGGGTTGCAGGAGAGGGTTGCAGGAGCTTGAAAAGAAGCTTCAGATGAGTTGAATATAATTCTTAGAAAAGAGGAACTTATGTGGCATCAAAGATCTAGAACTGAATGGCTTGTTAATGGAGATCGAAATACGAAATATTACCATTTAAAAACCATCAATAGAAGGAGGAGAAATAGAATTACCATGCTCAAAGATGAAAGTGGTCAGTGGATTGATGATAAAGACAAGCTGAAAAAATTGGTTAATGACTTCTATCGTAATCTTTTCAAGCTTAATTAGAATTGGAGTGTCATGGAGCAAACTAACATCTCTTTCCCTGGTTTGAAAGATTCAGACATTGAGATGCTCAATGCTCCTATAAATGATGAAGAGGTGAAGCATGCTCTTTTCTTAATGAAACTATGGAAGGCGCCTGGCCCGGTTGGATTTCCAACTGGTTTCTACCAGAAATATTGGAATGTGGTTGGACAAAGTGTGTGTGATTTTATGAAGAATGTGTGGAGTAACCCAGGGAGCATTGCAGATGTTAATAAAATTGATATTTGTCTTATCCCTAAGGTTGATCATCCACAAATGGTTAGTCAATTTAGACCTATCTCACTTTTCAATACGAACTACAAAGTTGCCAGGAAAGTCATAGTTGAAAGACTGAAAGCTTGTTTGGCAGGTTTGGTGTCTCCCTATCAAACGAGGTTTATACTGAGTCGATCGATACATGAGAACATTATCATTGCGAAGGAGGTCATAAACATAATGCACAATAAGAAGGGAAAAAAGGTTTCTTTTCCATTAAAATTGATCTCTCTAAGACTTATGACAAGCTTAGTTGAGATTTCATTGCTCAGGTTCTTAGTGAAATAACAATTCCAGGAAATATGTTTGATGTCATCATGCATGTTGTTAGCAGTGTCGAGACAAATATTGTGCAATAGAGTTAGAGGGGAATTTTTTAGACCTCAATGAGGTATCCATCAGAGTGATCCTATCTCTCCATACCTTTTTATGTTATGTATGGACAAGCTTTCTCATCTTATTGAGCATGAGGTGATGAATAATAAGTGGAAAGCTATTCAAATGGGGAAGAATGGTCCTAGCATTTCACACCTTATGTTTGCGGACGATTTACTTTTATTCTGTGAAACTACGGAGAACCAAATGAAGTGTATCAAGCAAACCTTTAATAAGTTCTGTCATATGTCTGGGTAGGAAGTTAGCATTGAAAAAAACGAGTATTATGTTCTCTAAAAATGTGGCTAGAGGCTTGAGGATGAAGCTGCTCCAGATTTCGGGGTTTAGAGAAACTGCGCATTTTGGGAAGTACCTGGGAGTACCGCTAAGCGGAAAGAACCCGAAGCGTGTTGACTACCTACCAATATTTGGTGGATCAAGTCTCGACGAGACTTGCGAGTTGGAAAACTAACGTTTTGTCTTTTGCAGGTAGAGTAACTTTGGCGAAAAGCGTTATTGAGGCGATCCCAATTTACCCCGTGATGATGAATGTGCTGCCTAAAGCTTGTGTAGAGGAGATACATCAGCTGCAACGCAACTTCATTTGGGGGATACGTTGATAATAAGAAGATGCATGCGGTGAATTGGAACTTGTTACAGATTCAAGGTGTTTGGGTGGGCTTGGATTGAGGAAGCTGGAAGTGATGAACCAAACGTGTTTGATGAAACTGAGTTGGAAAATGGTGAATAGATCGAGTGATCTGTGGTTCCGTGTCTTGCAAGGCTTGTATGAGAATATCAATATTCATGATTTGCCTAGTTATAGAGCTACTGATTCCAGTATTTGTACAAAGTGGTTTGCGGGGTCTTCTCCCAAGGATAATTGGTTAATGTTGAATGTCGACGGTGCCTGTAAGGACAGTAACATAGCTGGCCGTAGGGGGTTGATTAGAGATACAGAGGGTAGATGGTTGGGAGGTTTTGCTAAACCTCTTGGTGATAGTAGCATTTTTATGGTAGAGCTTTGGGGTGTGTTTGAAGGAATCACTCTCGCATTATCTCTTGGAGTTCAAAACATCGAAATCAATGTGGGTTCTCTTTATCGAATGTTAACTTGCAGATTATTCCAATAAAAGGAGGAGAGTCCTAGGTAGTTTTCAACACTTTCCATTGAATCATCATTTATACTGACAGATGATGCATGGTTTATCCGCCACAGCCCTACGGTGGACATCCAATGGCCAACTTTCAGTTAACATGAACTCAGTATGCAGGTGTTCCTTCGCCAACTTATGCATTCAAGTAGCTTGCATAAATCGCGACACTTGCAGATAATGAAAAGAACCACTATAATTCCATTTTTCTTTTTAGAACTTGTACTATTTTATATGACACCAATGAAGCTTAAAATAAATCAATAATTCCATTTGGCTAAATTTTCAATACAAGACCGATGATACAGTAATGTTGCAAGAAAAATTATTCTAATGGGTTCAACTATGTACTAGCATAAAGCATTCGACTAGTAATACAAAATCACAAATTTACAATAAGACATGATATCATCCACTTCAAAAGAGTTAAATGGGGTTCAGCAATACCTCAAAGTATCTTCAAGCTCCTTTTCATCAATATAATTCTATCCCAACAAATAAGTTCATGCGAGACGGTCGGATCCTCTAAATGGTTCTTCCTCATCTGCTGCAACACCTTGCTGCTGCTCAAATCGGGCTCCATTTTAGAGGCCGATAATAATCCATTAAAACAGTGCTCTGATATTGTACAGACCAAAATCTCATAGGCGGGATCCACTTAATCACAATCTTTTCTTGTGGTGAAACTTAGTCTTAAACTTTGGAAATGTGACACTTTAGTCTTGCAATAGGAATGCATAAAATTGATATGGTGATTCGTAAATTGTTCTAAATCAAAATTTGCATGATTTAGTGAATATGAAAAGGATACATCCAAGTCAATAATTCAAATGACTATGTAAAGATGCATTAATTAAATCCTTAATTTTCAATTATTTCTCATATTCTTTCTAAAGAAATATCAACCTAATGAAGATTGGATGAGAAGAGTTCCAAAGATGACTATGAATGAATTAAGCCATTAACATAACAATTTCTTATAGAACTAACATAAAAACATTCAAATAACATTCAATATCTATTTATAAATAACATTAAGAAGTAAAAACACACAACTTAACATTCAAATAATATTCAATATTTATTTATAAATAACATTAAAAAGTAAAAATAAAACTAAAACACACAACTTAACACTCAAATAACATTCAATATTTATTTATAAATAACATTAAGAAGTAAAAATAAAACTAAAACACACAACTTAACATTCAAATAACATTCAATATTTATTTATAAATAACATTAAGAAGTAAAAATAAAACTAAAACAACCACTTAACATCCAAATAACATTCCATATTTAGTAGAAAACATGAAATGTGTTGCTTTGTTTCTTCAATTGTGTATAACATGGTTTCTACATACGGGACATGCTCTCTTTCTTCTTAAACATGCGAGGATGCATTCTTTGTGAAATACGTGATCACAATTTAATTTGTTCACAACATCATTAGGTATGAAATCTTCCAAGCAAATTGGACAAAAATTTTGGTCGAATGAAAAAACAAGTGACTCATCATATATAATTTCTCTCTACTCCACCACAATCACTGGTGGAGTTTGTTGTGAAGTTTGTGCCACTGCCACTAGAAGATAAGTGTTTTTACCAGATCTATAGTATAAGTATATAAAAACAAGAGTGACAAATATTATAAGCATAGCAAATATTAAAGCTTTAGCCACCGTAGGTGTTAAAGGATACATATTTGATTTGATGTAGAGAGAGTGAGTTAGAGAGAGAAAGTGTGAGTGAGTGAAGGAGAGAAGCATGAAGTTAATATAGGCATGATTCATGGTGGAGTTTGATTCTTGTAAGTTATTGTTTCTTGTTTCAACATTACATATAGAACATTAGTAAAGAATATATGTTAATAATATTTTTGATAACAATATGTTTCTTGTTTCAAGAAGGTAAAGAATATTATCCAAGACGTCCAAGAAATCGTTATGTAGCAGCACCGAAAAATGAAATTGAAAACCTGAAGGTTGGATCGTGATTGTATTTTTCAAGCTAAAAAACACTATGGTGTGGAAACACGATTTAGATTTAGAATGTATTAAAAATATTGTATTTGTGTTGGCTAAGGTAATAAATAAAATATATATATATATATATATATATATATATATATTATATATATATATATATATATATATATATATATATATATATATATATATATATATATATATATATATATATATATATATATATATATATATATATATATATATATATATATATATATATATATATATATATATATATATATATATATAACCACAGATTTACAATAAGACATGATATCATCCACTTCAAAAGAGCTAAATGAGGTTCAGCAATACCTCAAAGTATCTTCAAACTCCTTTTCATCAATATTATTCTATCCCAACAAATAAGTTCATGCAAGACGTTCGGATCCCCTAAATGGTTCTTCCTCATCTGCTGCAACACGTTGCTGCTGCTCAAATCGGGCTCCATTTTAGATGCCGATAATAATCCATTAAAACAGTGCTCTGATATTGTACAGACCAAAATCTCATAGGCGGGATCCACTTAATCACAATCTTTGCTTGTGGTGAAACTTAATCTTAAACTTTGGAAATGTGACACTATAGTCTTGCAATAGGAATGCAAAAAATTGATTTGGTGATTCGTAAATTGTTCTAAATCAAAATTTGCATGATTTAGTGAATAAGAAAAAGATACATCCAAATCAATAGTTCAAATGACTATGTAAAGATGCATTAATTCATTCCTTAATTTTCAATTATTTCTCATATTCTTTCTAAAGAAATATCAAACTAATGAAGATTGGATGAGAAGAGTTCCAAAGATGACTATGGATGAATTAGGCCCTTAACATAACAATTTCTTATAGAATTAACATAAAAACATTCAAATAACATTCAATATCAATTTATAAATAACATTAAAAAGTAAAAACACACAACTTAACATTCAAATAATATTCAATATTTATTTATAAATAACATTAAGAAGTAAAAATAAAACTAAACCACATAACTTAACATTCAATATTTATTTATAAATAACATTAAGAAGTAAAAATAAAACTAAAACACACAACTTAACATTCAAATAACATTTAATATTTATTTATAAATAACATTAAGAAGTAAAAATAAAACTAAAACAACCACTTAACATCCAAATAACATTCCATATTTAGTAGAATACATGAAATTTGTAACTTTGTTTCTTCAATTGTGTATAACATAGTTTCTACATATGGGACATGCTCTCTTTCTTCTTAAACATGCGAGAATGCATTCTTTGTGAAATACGTGATCACAATTTAATTTGTTCACAACATCATTAGGTATGAAATCTTCCAAGCAAACTGGACAAAAAATTTGGTCGAATAAAAAAACAAGTGACTCATCATATATAATTTCTCTTAACTCCACCACAATCACTGGTGGAGTTTGTTGTGAAGTTTGTGCCACGGCCACTGGAAGAAAAGTGTTTTGACCAGATCTATAGTATAAGTATATAAAAACAAGAGTGACAAATATTATAAGCATAACAAATATTAAAGCTTTAGCCACCATAGGTGTTAAAGGATACATATTTGATTTGATGTAGAGAGAGTGAGTTAGAGAGAGAAAGTGTGAGTGAGTGAAGGAGAGAAGCATGAAGTTAATATAGGCATGATTCATGGTGGAGTTTGATTCTTGTAAGTTATTGTTTCTTGTTTCAACATTACATATAGAACATTAGTAAAGAATATATGTTAATAATATTTTTGATAACAATATGTTTCTTGTTTCAAGAAGGTAAAGAATATTATCCAAGACGTCTAAGAAATCGTTATGTAGCAGCACCGAAAAATGAAATTGAAAACTGGAAAGTTGGATCGTGGTTGTATTTTTCAAGCTAAAAAACACTATGGTGTGGAAACACGATTTAGATTTAGAATGTATTGAAAATATTGTATTTGTGTTGGCTAAGATAATAAATACATATATATATATATATATATATATATATATATATATATATATATATATATATATATATATATATATATATATATATATATATATATATATATATATATATATATATATATATTATATATATATATATATATATATATATATATATATATATATATATATATATATATATATATATATATATATATATATATAAAACTACAGATTTACAATAAGACATGATATCATCCACTTCAAAAGAGCTAAATTGGGTTCAGCAATACCTCAAAGTATCTTCAAGCTCTTTTTCATCATAATAATTCTATCCCAACAAATAAGTTCATGCAAAACGGTAGGATCCCCTAAATGGTTATTCCTCATCTGCTGCAATACCTTGTTGCTGCTCAAATCAGGCTTCATTTTAGATGCCGGTAATAATCCATTAAAACAGTGCTCTGATATTGTACAGACCAAAATCTCATAGGCGGGATCCACTTAATCACAATCTTTGCTTGTGGTGAAACTTAGCCTTAAACTTTGGAAATGTGACACTTTAGTCTTGCAATAGGAATGCATAAAATTGATATGGTGATTCGTAAATTGTTCTAAAGCAAAATTTGCATGATTTAGTGAATATAAAAAGGATACATCCAAATCAATAGTTCAAATGACTATGTAAAGATGCATTAATTCAATCCTTAATTTTCAATGATTTCTCATATTCTTTTTAAAAAAATATCAACCTAATGAAGATTGGATGAGAAGAGTTTCAAAGATGACTATGGATGAATTAGGCCCTTAACATAACAATTTCTTATACAATTAACATAAAAACATTCAAATAACATTCAATATCTATTTATAATTAACATTAAGAAGTAAAAACACACAACTTAACATTCAAATAATATTCAATATTTATTTATAAATAACATTAAGAAGTAAAAATAAAACTAAAACACACAACTTAACATTCAAATAACATTCAATATTTATTTATAAATAACATTAAGA